CTATTGTTAGCATGAACAATTAAAGTATGTCTTTAAATGCACTGAAACGCTTTGGAGGAAAACAGAGGCATGTGCATGGATGTAGGCGTGGTCTAGAAGTGCATGATTTTCCTTCCGACTGAAAAACTTGTCTCAGTTCTATGGTATTAACACAAAATAGCGGTACGTTAAATGTCACCCAAACTGCAAAAGAACAGGTGTGCATCACTCTCTGTGGTCGGACTGTCATGAATATGTAAGTCTTTACTGACCACCGTAGTCCGATCAAATGTTATTAGCGCCGAAAAGACGAATATCGAAAACAAAACTAACCTCACCGTGGTCTGGGCATTGAGTTAACCAGCGAGTTCGAGATTGAGAGGGCACATCGCTCCCCAGTCCCTAGACCAAGTGAGGATAAACCGGGTGATCCTGGTCAGGTTTCTGCGATCCTCAGCCAGAGAAAAAGTGCTCAGGGCCACGAAGGAAAAGAGAGTGCTTGATTGGGAAGGATGCTCATTGTCATTTTTCCCTGATATGTCCAAAGAACTGGCGCAAAAAAGAAAAACGTTCACCAATGCGAGGAGGGTGCTGCGGGAACGGAATATCAGATTCACACTGGCATACCCGGCGACCTTGAGGTTCAGCTGGAAAGGGCAAACCAAGAGCTTTAATGTCAGCTCTGAAGCAGAGGATTTCATTGCAAAACATGGTGGTGAGTGAGGGCGACTGGACTGTGTCACAAGTAGTTGAATATAACATGAAGGTGGCGCGGAGAGATGTGGTAGAGCTGTCGGAAAAGGCTAAGCTTAGGCGCCTCACGGACCATAGTGGTTGAGTGTTAGCGGGTCTGTTTTAGTTAACCGCTGAGTGGAATTTTTGTTTTTGTTTTGTTGTTTTTGGTTATGTTGAAAACGCCACACTTTGTAGAATGGACAGTCATGGAAGGCAGTAAAACTGAGGACATATGTGCAAACAGAAAATGGAGTAATCAAGTCCCACTTGTCAGTGTGAATGTCAAGTTTGATATGACATGGCTAATAATTTCGTTAGGTTTGTGACTTGGAATTGCAATGAGTGTGGAATTCCAGTGAAACGGCGAAAAACTGACATTTCTGAGGCAAAAACGGACCGATGTCGCATTTCTACAGGAGACGCACTTAACAGCCGGAGAAGCAGTTAAGCTTAAAGACTGGGTGGGACATGTTTTTCATAGTTCATTTTCATCTAAACAGAATGGAGTGATAATTCTCATAAATAAGCAGGTTAATTTCATATTGCTTAACGAAATCAAGGATAACCGGGGTAGAAATATATGTATTGAGGCTCTCATTAACGGTGTTAAATTAGCCAAACAAGGCTGAACCTAAATTTTTCCACGACGTGAATAAGATTTTAGGGGGTGTTAATGGGCAAATCATTCTTGCAGGGGATTTTAACCAGGTAATGAATGCTATTTTGGACAAAAGCCAATTCAAAGGACCATTATTGCCAAAAGATAGGGCTGCGATTCATATGTTAGTAGAGGATATGGGATTAATAGATATATGGAGATTGATAAATCCGGGTGAGAGAAGATACACATTCTTCTCTAATTGTCATAAATCGTACTCTAGAATTGATTATTTTTATATCTGACTCTATGACAGCTAGAGCAATAGACTGTAAAATTGGGGCTATAGTTCTTTCTGACCACACCCTAGTGGAGCTAGATACAGATTTAAGCTCAGATAAGGAACGCAAAGGAAGGTGGCGGATGAATACAACAGTTTTAAAAGAGGAAGGATTCAGTACATTACTTGCAGAAGATTTAAGATCCTTTTTTGAAATCAATATAGGGAGTACAAATAAAATTTCAACTGTATGGGAGGCCTCAAAAGCATATATAAGAGGGAAGATTATAGCCCAAACATCCAAAAGGGATGTTCCAAGAAGTGAGTAGGTTGAAATTTCAACTACATGAGATTTACACTAAAAAAGCAGAGTATGCGTTATTTAGACTAAAAACAAATTATTATGAAAGTGATTCCAGCAATTAAGATAAATCAGGAAATGGTATATTCATGTAAAGAAATAAATTAAGTTTTTCTACAGTATTATCAGAAATTGTACAGCTCAGCTTCGGATGTCACTCCTGAAGAGATTCACACATTTCTATGTAATATAGTCCTTGGAGCAGATGGAAGCATTGGATGCCCCAATAACCCTGGAGGAGTTTAGGAAGGCTATTAAAACAAGCAATGAAAACAGGAAAGTCCCCAGGGTTAGACAGGTTTCCAGTGGAATACTATAAAAGATATATGGATATTATTGCACCAGTTCTAACGGACGTGTTCTTAGAGACCTTTAAAAATGGATCCCTCCCAAAAAAGATAAAGATGCTACTGATCCAGCTAGTTTTAGACCAGTTAGCTTAATAAATGTGGATTCTAAGATTCTAACTAAGCTCTTGGCCACACGCTTGGAGAAAGTACTACCAACAGTTATACACCCTGACCAAGTGGGCTTTATCCGTAACCGTACCTCTACTGATAATATGAGAAGACTGTTACATTTGTTAAAGCTTAATAGGACAGTGGATGTACCAGTAATGGCCATTTCCTTGGATGCGGAAAAGGCATTCGATAGAGTTGAGTGGGGGTTTCTATTCGGAGTACTAAAGAAGTTTGGATTTGGCCCTTATATAATTAAATGGATAAAAATTTTGTATACAAGTCCTAGAGCAGCAATAATAACCAACGGGGTTAATCTCATCTTTTTTTAATCTAGAAAGAGGAACGCGACAGGGGTGCCCCTTGAGTCCGTTATTGTTCATAATGGTATTGGAACCACTGGCGGCCATGATTAGAGCTGATGGAAAAATTAAAGGAGTCTACGGGGGGGGGGAGCACACAAATTACTGCTATATGCAGATGATATTACTCTCGGGGGACACTCTGAACTCTATACCAGTTATAATAGATATTATTCAGCAGTACTCAAAGTTATCTGGATATAAAGTTAACTGGTCTAAATCAGAAGCAATGTCAATATCTAAGGTTCGTCACCCTGCAGTAGTTAAAAATTTTAGCTTTAAGTGGCTACAAAAGGGGATGACATATCTGGGAATCAAACTACGTGGCAATGTGGAGGAAATAATAGACTTAAATTTTGAACCATTATTACAGAAAATAAAGTCAAGCCTAGAAAAATGGGCAAGAATAAATTTGTCTTTATGGGGGAAAGTTAACACCATAAAAATGGTAGTAACACCTCAAATTAATTATATTTCAATGATGGTTCCCCTTATAATACCCCCTCATATATTCAAACAGTACAACAATATGGTGAAGGAGTTTCTTTGGGACAAGAAAAAACCCAGGATTAAAATGAGTAGGTTGTATATTTCAAGAAGGAAGCGTGGCCTTGGTTTACCAGATATGAAATTATATAACGCCTCTTCTGAATTATCTAAATTAGCGAAACACTGGATTAGTGAAGACAAAGAGATAGACTGGCTTGGAATAGAACGAGAGTTGGCTGCTCCATTTCAACCCATACAAGTTCTATCACAGCAGTCAAGAAAGGCAGATGATATCTCAAACCCTATTTTATCCTATTCTAGAGAGGTCTGGAATGCATTGCATATAAGGTTCAAAGTGTCACAGTATATTCAACCATTTGCATCACTATGGAAGAATCCAGAAATATGTATAGGAAAGGCAATGGTGTTATGGAAAAAATGACTGGTTAAGGGTATTCAAAGCATGGGGATGCATATAGGGAAGGGGTGTTTATGTCCTATAGGGAAATAATAGAAAAATATAATCTTGAAGGTAAAGGGAATTTCTGGAAATATTTACAGTTACGGAGCTGTATGGCTTCTAGGTTTCAGGGCACCATGGACACTCATTTCTTTCTGGACTACATAGAACTACCTAACGAAAGCTGTAAGGCATCTGTGTTTTACAGAATAGCTAATGACATTGGCAATAATAATGAGAATAACTTAAAAATATTGTGGCAGAGAGACCTAGAATGTGAAATAGAAGATAAAACATGGTTAAACATTGTGTCGAGCTCTGGGAGACATATTATAGAGGTCAAGGGTAAATTAACTCAGTACAAAATATTGCATAGATACTACTGGACACCTTTACGATTGTATAGAATGGGGCTTATAGATAATGACCTCTGCTGGAAATGCCAAAAGGAACGGGGTACATTTGTACATTCTATATGGGAATGTGCATTTTTACAACCTTTCTGGGAAGGAATATTGAATATGCTGGGAAAATGGATTGGGAAATTCATACCGGTTTGTCCACAGTTGTGTCTACTGGGCAATAGAGAGAGTGTGACGAACTTAACCAAATGTGAATTCAGGATTGTTACTACAGGCCTGGTATCAGCCACAAGGATAATTTTGAGACACTGGAAATCATCTGAAATACCTGACCTGAAAGAATGGGTGGATCTGTTGATAGAAACTGCCTCTTATGAACGTATGTTAACTAGGATATCTGATCAATATGGAAAAGATAGTAAGGTATGGGAAAATGTATGGTGTAATATGGCATTTGATGTTTAGCTGGAAGGCACTTTTCACACCTGCATTTCTTGTCACATGATCTTATATTTTAATTATTATTATTTTTGTTTTTTTTTTCGTATCTGTTGTTTGGGACTGTTTTACTGTCTAATCGAAGTGTGGAAATAAAAACCATAATTACAGGAGTCCATGCCACAGGGGAACAGAGCCAAAATGACTGTCACTTCCTGCTTCCTTTTAGCCCTTAAATGTTGGCCAACACATACAGCAAATGTTGCTTTCCTGTTGCCACTGATAACACACATCTGACAAACCCAGTCAAAATAGATCTGCCTGTAAGAGGTGGCACTACTGGTCTAGGCTTTTTAACCAATACAGCAGTAGAAAAGTTCATCACAAAATGTCATCATCAAAGGTAACCTCAAAATAAAGAGACTTTTACACTATGTGTATACTCAGAATATAGGTATTGAATGTCTAAAAAACTTACATTGGTGCCAGACTTCATGGGATTTCCCAGATCACAGCTGAGATAACGTGTTTGGTTCTCTGTCTCATAACTGCAGGTCAGCTGAGTCAGACTCTGGACAAAACACAACAGTGAGTGAGTAACAGTGACTTACTACTACCACAGCTGCTGAATTTTGTATCACATATTGCCCTACATCTACTATGTAAGTTTTTCCAAAAAATGGACCAAAGTCAATGAATGACTTATTCTAAGTATTTTAAGAATAAACAAGGCACAACACATGCAGGGTTAATAGGTACACTGCTATGACATGGGTAGCACTTGTACACTGATCCCCATAAGTTACCTCATTATTGCGGGCAATTCCACTGTAGTCTGCCTCTGGAGGAAGCACCACATACAGTTCGGCTTCATAAGCCCCTCCTCCATCGTTCCGGGCGTTAAAGGTCAGGGTCAGCGAGTTGTCATCACCCATGAACACTTCCTTCCTGTCCCTGTGCACCCAGAAGCAGAAAGCAAAAACAAAAATGTAAAATACTTAACACTAGCTGCTAATTTATTGCAGCAAAGGTTAAATGTGAAATTTGGTTGCACTCATATGAAACAAATGAAAGTATGAATGTATATTTTAAAAAAATTAAAAAGTAAAAATAATAATATTTAGATATGTATACTTTAAATGTATGCTCATGTTTTATTTGTTTAACAAGAGTGCAACCAAATTCCACATTTATATATACTCCACATACAAGCCCTTTCACTGTTAGGGATTATAAAATCAATATTGACATAGCTGATGCAGGAACAAAATCTTATCTCTACATAATGTTAACTTTACAGCAGAAAGAAAAAACATTTCACTTTTAATGTAAGGCAATGTAACCTGACTGATTTAGTCAAGACGCAACCCAAATAGCAGCAGACACATTCAACTTTAGAGAGGCCCCCCTTCTTCATTCAAAAAAAAAATTTGTAAATGTATTATGTAGCAATAAAGTCATACAGGCATTGGAGCACGGAATAAAGTTGTAAAACATCACGTCCTCTAGTTCCCAAGTCCACTCCTCTGTTCCTTCCCCCTACCCTTCCCCGTTGTCTTTCCCCTGCTTTCACTCCCCAGCTCTGAATACAATGAGAAATTCCATACGAGGGCCACACAGACGCTTCCAATTACTGCCTGGCCTTGTAAAACTGTGCTGAAGCAAAATTCAAACATCGGTGCTACACTAGTGGGGGACTGTAACCTGTAAGTGCTCTTAAAGCCTTTGACCTTCCAGTCAAAATGTTATTACAGCCCACCCAACAACAACTAACGACACAAATAACATAAAAATCAAAAATTAAAAACAGTTATTTGTGTAATTTCTGTGACAGTCGGTTGTCAGTTGATGTGGTGCAAAGATCTTCCATTCCTTCCAATCTAAATTTACTGCATTTGCAAACCAGACAACGATTTTGGTTCCACTAATCAAACAGTCAATCCCTACAACACTGTCATTCCTGTAGTGCCCTACTTTGACAGATACAGATCCTTGCAGCTTTTGCAAAACAGCAATAATAAATTACCACTGGTGAGTACCGAGAGACGCATGGAAACAATTTCAAGTGTGAGCAGAGCAAAGAAAGCCTGGCCAAATATGCTAAACCTGGAGCTGAAAGGCAGCGGTGTTGTAGGTTACATGCCTTGGCAGAGATTATGAATGGGGCTAAAAGCTGGCTATGTTCTCCAAAATGTCTCAGGAGGACTCCTGCTAGACCTACGGTCTCCTCTTCTCCTCTTCCCAAATTCATTCTGAGTATCTCCTTTCCTAGCTCAATCTACATGCTTTTGGAACGTCAGATCTGTATGGGCATCACAAAAAAAAAAAGACATCAATTAACTAATCATTTTCCATTGAGGTTTTTTTGAAATTAGTAGCACCAGCTCTAAGAATCTGCTAATACACATCGTATTACAGTGTTTGCTGTTTGGCAGCAATATTGCGATGCAGAAGTAGCAGGTAAATGCAAATAAATATAAATATCTGTCCATACATGAATGGGCAGCAAAGCCAGTGTTGTTATTTCTGTAAGAATAAAGCCAAAGATTTGTGAAATCAAAGTAGGGCTGAGTGCTATGAGTGTGGAGGCGAGGGGAGGGAGGTATGGGTATCTCCTGCAAAGCCAACTCCCTGAATTTTCCAAACCCAACTCTTTCATCTACTTTCATCTAGCATGCCAGCACCTGTATCACAGCTCCCTTTACTGTTTTTACATCTGACACAGTGTGTGTGTGTGTATTTGTGTGCGCTTTTTGCTTGCTAATCTCACCTGGGAGCACTATGATCATTAACAAGATTCTCTGATGCATGTGATTCATCAGATATATTTATCCAACTAGACAGTAGCAACAATAGACATTTCTCGTTTTCTCAGTTGCACACTTTTCAGGCTATTGTTTTCCAAAGCAAATGCTCTCTTTGGTAAATGACTTACCCATACACAGAAAGTTTCAGGTCAGGGACACAGATGTTGTCCTCTCCACAGTCCAGTAAAATCTGGGCCTGGAACATAAGTATGACAAGAAAAACAAAGTGTGAGGAAAATAAATTATTCTAATTAAAATATTACAGGTAATAACCAAGTCAATTCCTTTATCCAGGGACAAAGATGAAGGGGATTTTTGTTTTCTTTTAGTCTGGTAATCGGTAACTTGTTCAGGGAAGTGAGCCCACTACAGCGTGATGATACTTGTAGTCTTGTGACTCATTAATTCCATCAAATCCACCTCTTATAATTAACCTATGACCCAGAAATCTCTTAAAAAAAAACTATTAAACATCCAGTGGAAATAAGATAATTTGCTATTATCTGGCCACAGAAGTATTCAAGTGTTCAAAGCAATCACCAATAGTGCTAAAAAGTTACAGAAAGCTTTCATAAAACGCAAAGTGTGAATAAATAACAAGTAGTTTGCCATGTCGCAAATGGTCTTTTGTAATACAAATGATTGTGTGCTTTATGTGGTCACTTTCTCTGCAACAGGCCTTCAGGATGACAATATCAAAAAGACCCTGCAGTCGCCAGTACGAGTGGGCAACACGTTATCATTATCATGATTACATACAAAATGCTGAGTACATTATAGGTAGGGGTGGGAATCTCTAGGCACCTCACGATTCAATTCGATTATGATTCAGAGGGCTGCGATGCGATTATAAAACGATTATCGATGCATCTTGATGCATCTTTTTTTTCTATACAGGATTTCTTTTTTTCCCTCAATGTGCGACGTTTTGTTAATGTTAAAGCAAAGTATTTGTAATGATCCATAATGAATTTACTTCCAATATCTTTTATTAATAAAATAAACAGAAGTGATGTGTCAAGTGAACTAGAAGGCTCTCATTCACTGCGCTTCTTTGGAGCACATGAGACGCTGCTGCCACTCATCTGCGATAAAATGCGCAGTTACGGTGAAATAAGATCCTGTGGCAGTGGATGTCCACGCAGCACGTCACAGCTATTCTATCCGTTTTTCCGTCAATGATTTCATAACTTCGGTTTTGGTCTCGTTGTAGAGAGTGGGGGCGGGGTGGGTCGCTGTGTCAGTAAATATCTCTGAGACGGGACGCTGTATCTCTCACTGGTTCTCAACGCCTGAGAACGGACGCAAATCCTTGTCAATAAAAGTTGCGATAGAGTTTGTAATTCGCCTCCGAGTTGCGTGAGAGCTCTGACATCGCTTGCTCGATAGGTTAGTGCTCTGGTTGGCAGCAAGTACAACCGGACGGGAAACATGTAGCGTTAATATGGTTTCTCATGTTTGTCGTTTCCAAAATATTTTAGTTTAGTCTGACACAAATTGCATATTGTGTGGCTCTTGTCCAGGTCCTTTTTCCCCTTCAACTTCATAGAAGCCAATTGTTTCCATACGCTAGCTCAGGGGTCGGCAACATACGGCTCTTTTACTGTCCTGATGAAAACAAAATAATCCTCCTTTGCAGTAAAATAAAGCTCTGCTGATCGTTCTAACGCTGTTTTAACAATAAATGGTCTTAAACGCTGCTAATTCATCACCCTATAACCCCACAAGTCACATAGCTACGCACAGTCTGGCCTCGCTAGCAGCGAACGAAAAGACAAAAAGACAGCTTTATGACGAACATTTGGAGACGAATGGACTTATTCGCATTTATAAGCAGCGCAGTTGGTTTCCTGGTACGTTCAATCTGCAACGAGAGACTGTCAAACACTAAAAGGTCGCAAAGATGAAGTCAACTTCTCTTTCGAATTGTCCCGTTCCATCTTAAATGGTGCCTTAGGCACCATTTAAGGTCGAATGGGAAAATTCTAAACAAGAAGCTGGAGAACGAGAAGCGACTTCAGCTTCGTGAAACAGTCGAACATTGAGAAACATTTTACAAGAAACTATTCAACGCTTGAGGAAAAGTTTTCTGGCGTAGATGGGAGGAAAGCGGCTATAGCTAAAGCTTAAAGCAGAGAAAAGTAAGTCCGCGTTTTCGTTCAACGTCATATTGTTTAGCCTATACTAGGACATTAACACATACTGAGACATACTGGACATTAAATGTTGTGGCTCCCAAGGTGGTCTGATTTTTGCTGAAAGGACAAAATGTCTATTCTTAACATCTGGGTTGTCGACTCTTGATCACAATTCTGACCTAACCTGGCTTTTAATGCAGAGGGAGCCGGTCGGATTTCTCACTCATCCAGTTGTGTTTTTGTTATGTGCACCTCACAGAGTGTCCGGGCACTGCACTTCCGCACTTCCAGGTTCCGCCTCTGCGTTCCGTCAACATTACGTTATAAATTAAATATTTAGAAAATCGATTTTTAACATTTGTGAATTGATTCAGAATCGTCCACGTCCGCATCGCGATGCATCTTAGAATCGATATTTCCCCGCACCCCTAATTCTAGGTATCATTAGTATCTCAAGAACACAAAAACTGCATGCATTGGCCTGTGCCAGTAAACGTATTTTTTGCATGACCGTATGAAAAATAAATGCAGTAAACTTTCAAAACAGGTTCCAATTGAGGGTTAGGAACCATCTCAAAAGTACTATAAGAAAAAGTTGTTGGGTGTTGGTGGTAGTGTTGCAACAGAAGATACTACTACTACTACTACTACTACTTCTTAGTAATAGTAATGTTGTTAGTTATTATTACTATTAATATTATAGTTATTATTAACAACAACAATAATAAAAGCAACAACAACACTTTTTCTTCCAGTTATTTTGAGACGAACCCCAACTCTAAGGCAGATGCAGAAACAAACACAGTGATACCTCAACAGCTGCATTTCTGATCTCAATCTCATCTATGTTCGATACAATAAATGTGGTATTGATGTAGAATATTACTTTACCCAACATGTTTAAAACTTCTATTACGCTCACAGGAATGAGTGTCTCGCTATGGTTTGCATGAAATAAATCATCAAATGGACATAATTTTCTTAACCAGAAATAATTGCGTTTTTACAGTCATTGGGGCTGTTACTGTGCTAACTTGGTTAACCATCACCAGGCCTAGTATGCATCATTTACAGCATGTTAACAACAACCAGCATACAGTAACTGCATAAACTACATAATAACAAATAGTTGACGATGTCAACTCATTATGCCATTTTCTAATTTTCATAATATTTTCTTTTTAAACAGTAAATCTGTGAAAATCTGGACCTTTTTCAAATGTGGTGCCTTGTTTTGCTGGTGCATTTGTCAGTTCCAAATTGAATTCACACATCAGAAAAAGTAAACATCATACATATAATGTATAATAAACATGTTTTAACTACTATGATGTTATATTTTAGCTATATTGCCCACCCTTAGTCACAGGGGTCAGACGACAGGGAATGATCAAATGCAGAGGTGTGTCCATAATGGGTCAGTTTGTGCCTGTCAGGCCTGCTCCCTGAAGGACATGGGCCTGTAGAATTACTGCCTTATGAGAACCAAAATCCACATCACAGCCTACCACCACAGACCGCATACTGGCCGCACGCGGTGCCACCCAGCTCACCATACACATACACACACACATACACACACACACACACACACACACACACACACACACTCTAAAATGCCTCAGTCATGAACAGAGGGAAGAAAAGTCCTTCAGTACAGAGTCATAAGCGATACAAGCGTAACAAGGGAAAGCCCTGACTTGGCTAATTGCTTCAGCGTGATTCTGTGACTTCAGCGTGTGCTGGGATGATGTGGATGACGATGAAGATGAGAAATAGAAGAGGGAGATTAGAAAGACTACAGTGCCCTCCCTGTAATCAGGCTTTACTGGGCTCTAATTAAAGCTGTGGAGAGAGGCCGCCTACTCCACAATTTACTAAAGCCGTGTGTTGGCTTGCTCCCAAAGTATGGAGGAGGGAAAAAAAATTGCTATTTACGTTAATCACAGCAGCTAAATAACAACAAGTGCAAGCATATGCCAAAATGAGAATCACTACATATCAAAGAAAGCTAATCCACATTCAAAACAGATTCATTTTGCCAAAAAACATCTCTTCGCATCAGTCCTGCTTTGTCTGTTTAGGGCATCACATAAATCCAACAGCTCAATCACAATTCTATGAAAAATCCCACGATCGAGTATTTCACAAGTACATAAAAGGGTAAGAATAACAAATAGACTTGACCAGTGGTGTTTCAAGTATTTCAACTATGTACAAGCAATAACCATGACAGAATGGTTGAATCACTAAAGGACACTGCAAACTCTCTACTGCATATAAGTTTGAAGTTACTCTCACAATAGGAATGAATGCTTACTAGAAACAGACCCAAACCAAATTACAAACAGATTTTAAAACAAACAGAGCCACAAAGCAGATTTTGAGGAAAGCCTGGGTCTGTGTATAGCCAACTATCAGAATATTTTACAGGATATGGGGAGCCTGTATACTGAGAGCACTGTTTCATGAATCCATTACTGCACTGTATCCCAAGGCAACATGTGGAGCAAGTTAGCAGTGAGAAAAAGGTTGCACTCATGGAGAAGCACTTAGCATAGAGTAAGACGGCCTTTAGGACCAAACTACACAGCTCCATACGCATACAAATAGTCTGTTTTTTTTATTAGCTGTCAAATGATTCAAGTAATTAATTGCAATTAACCGCATTAATTTGTGCAGTTAATCGTTATGAACCACATTTGTCTTATTTGCTCAAGTTTTACCCTAAGGGAAGACTTTTTTGTTATAGTTATATTACTGGACAAAATAAAGTGGATTATCTGGAAAAAAACTTTGGTTTTATCAAAAGAGCCATCAATGTAACTTTCCCTTTAAAAGCTATGTTTGACTTAGAGGACCACAGTTGCAGAGTAATAGCATCATCATCAGGCTGGAACTACACATGGTTCAAAAAGTCAAACTAGGAAAATGCATTAACGGCGTTAAAGAAAGTAGTGACGTTACTTTAGAAATTTAACATATATACCCCCCCCCCACCCCACACACACACACGTCAGAATTTATCTAACCTAAGCCTAATCTTTTTAAAACATCACAAAGTGATGGTTTACTCAGTTCTATCTGGTTTTCTTACAAACTCAGGACATTGCCCTGAAAAGCACAAAAACAAACACATGCACATGCACGACATTCGTGGTCCAAACATAGCCATTTGAGTCCTGCTAACACAGGTTTAACGTTGTTCTATGGCTGACCTCTTCTATGTTTATTCAGGACCAAATTCACGCTGGGTACCCACAAGGACTTACAATGTGCGTGAAGGTTTATTGCTTAAGCACACTGTCATCCCAACCTTAACAGCTGGCTTTTGCTCTACACTGAAACAATGTGCGGCTGGTGAGCAACTGCAGAGACTGTGTTTAGATCACCGTTCCAACAGAAATACATGCCAAATATAGACTGTATCTGATCTACAGTTTGGTTTTTAATGAAAATCATTACCACTGAACAATGGTGAAGTGGACTGAAATGCAAGGAAAAGATCTTGCGCTGCAAACTGAGATTAGGTTGGACTTTCCATCACTGTTCACAATGCAAGTGAAAGCAGCCACATGTTAAATGCAAATAAAACTTCAATTCATTGCGGTAAAGCTTTTATTACCACAGGAAAACTGGCATGGTGAAAAACTCCAACCATAGGCAACCATCAGCCATAAGGGCTGTGAGGGCCCCACCCAAAAAGAGAAACACACAAACCTTCTCTAAGTGAACACTCCTTAAAAGCACCTTCAATGGATCGTTCCACAGCAGCCCTGTGTGCTACTCCTGGTGGGACAATGAAAAACTCTCCTTGGTGTACATGCTTTGCATTTTCCCCCCATTTTCAAACTGCTTTCCAGACCCTTTGGAGCACTTCCCAGATGTATGTTTTGAAAATGTGGAGGGGAGGCAGACAGCAGTTCAGGAGGGGGGTGGGGCACCTGGATAAATCCAAGTGCAGCTCAGGGCTGCATAATATAGCTTATTTTATTGCAATTTTAGCCTTTGCAATAATGATAAAGCAGATTGTTTTTTTTTGTCTGTTTTTTTCACGAGTGTTTTATGGATGTTTTGATTCATCAAGGTATTCAAGCAGTCCAAAAAAAGCAACCTATTTTGGTTAGGCTAATCTTCAACTATGGCACAGTATTGACTCCCTAATGCAAGCTTAAAATATTAAAAGGAGTATAATAGCCCTAGTTTGAAATATACACCAGGGTTAGTGTGCGTACCTTCTGCTCGATGAGCTCAGTCGTCTGGTAGTTGAGGATGGGGCGCAAGCCATGCTTGTCTGCGGCAGCTTGTGGATGCAGACTAAAGTTAAGAGCGATATAGATGGAGGAGAGCTTATCCCGAAACTCCTTTTCATCCTGCGCCCAGCCAGAGGAGAAGAGACACGGATACTTAGTGGGAATTTAGAAATGAAGTCAGAAAGAAGAATAAACTGCTATGCTTAATTTTACAGCACATTTCTTGCTATTAATCAGGCTGTTTATCGTAGAGCACAAAGCCAGTTGTCACACTTATCTTAAGAAGCCACTTATCTTACACCAACACATTAAAACTGTTCTTAACATCTCGTACTCTTCTCGAAGCTGTCTTTTCTATCAATGACATAACTCACCCTCAGGTAGATTTTGGTCTCGTGACACAATCTAGCATCGTTGGCTACTGTAAGATTCCTTTGCAGACTGGCCTGCTGAGTGTCCAAAAACAGAGCCCTGCGAACTGCTCCCTTCTGCTTCTGCTTCAGTTGGTCCAGCTGCACCTCCACATTAAACACTACAACAGACATTCATGCACATGGGCCATTACAGCATGACACATAACAGGAATTTATATGTGGATAAACAGCTGTGGGGCATTGCTCAGTTAATATATAAAATAATATTTTCTCGAGATCTATTAATCTATGCTTATAAGTAAAAAAGCGAACTTCTTTCTAGGTCCCACCTAATATATAATGTATATGTATATAAAGTGATAATGTTATAATATTAGTTATATTGGCCAATAATGGGGTTCTACAAGCATAGCCATATAGACGAATAAAATATTGATCTTAAATGATACTTTTTATACTGTCACAAAACTGTCACTGTAGAGACTGATCTCCTGTTTTTGTTGTTATTTTTATTAGAGTAATACAGGCTGAACTGGTAAGTCTGAAAACAAAACTTAATAAGTAATTAAGAAATAATAAAAACCATATCAAATTAGTTCACAATTACTACTTGACACAATAACATTAAAACAAAAAACAATGAAGAATGGATGTTTTAAAAGAGCTAATTAACAAATCCAACAAAACTGCTAATAAATTCAGCCAGTAGAGCAAAGTTTAAGTAAAACTGTGTTCTAATTTTTTTTAGCGTTTTTATTTTTCTTTATTAAATTATATCAGCCAACATTATCATTATCAGAACTTTTAGCTCCTTAAAATTCATATTAGTCAGTTGGGCTCTAGTGCTTACATTTAAAAGATAAAGGATCCAGAAAGTCTGCTGTACTCTCTCTGGATTTCTAGGTTTTTACTAGTTTCGAGAGAATACCATGCACCGTGCCGCAGAATAAGAGTATGTGTAGGTGTTATTTCCAGCACAAAAATTTGGCCTCTCATAGTGGAACATGTGGCAGTGTTGGGTATCCAAGCAGCAATGAGGTAATTACAGAATAATTACAATGTAAAGGTCATGTAGGAACAAAGAGAGGCCCATGGACAGGGATGAAAAGCTAAAAAAGGGAATAAGGAGTCATGACACCAGAGGCTGAGGATACGTGGTATGTTGAGATGCTGTGTTGCTATCAGTCATAGGCAGCTAAGTACAAAGTGAAGAAATAGGGGGAAAAGTCCTTTGAAGGTGCTAACTAGAGAGATTTATACAGAACTACCTCTGCGAAGCACTGCTGTGTGTATATAATAGGAGGCAGATGTGGTCTGCTGGCTCACCTAGATTTTGTGGAAGGTGCTTGCCATTGGCTGAAAGGCAGAAGCTCAAGTTGACACTGGAAGTAAAACAGATAGAGACATGATGAGAGAAGCGTATGTACGGCAACATGTCAGCACACATGCATACATGACCAGAGTCGCATTCATACTTCTACTTTTGTTGTCCAAAGACTGCTCTTCTTAAGGTGTCTCAAGTTACACTGACAGAACACTGCTGCTGCATACATTATCATAGTGTCACTGAGTAGCAGCTGAGAGTAATAGGCACTGAAGGCTTTTTTTGTCCAGACAAGGATGTAAGGAAAGTCTCTCTCTTCAGCAACTAAACCACTGAAAGTGGAGTAGATTGCTGTGTCATAACATGACAGTGTATGCAGTAGGTGTGGGTAGGGGTGACGTTGACATTTTATCATGATCATGATACATCACAATATTGTGAGCATATCGTGGATATAGTCAGTACTTAAAAAACACTGACCGAATCCATGTTTCATTACAAAGAGAGCATAATTAGTCTTGTTTAGGCTGAGGCGGCCTACAAGGATGAAGTTCAGCACCTGGCTGCAATGTGTGCCAACAACCTGGCACTTAACACCCAGAAGACCAAGGAGAAAATCGTGGACTTAAGGCAGGCTAGGAGCCATACATACAACCCCAACTACACCAACGGAGCCACAGTAGAGCACATGTCAAGATTCAAGTTCCTTGGCATCCACATCTCTGATGACCTCACCTGAAGAACTCCTCCAACCTGGTCAGAAAGGTGCAACAGCACCTACAGAAAGCTCACCTATATCCCAGGATACTGGTGGACCACTGAGAGCATACACACAAACTGCATCTCATTGTGGTTTGGCATCTGCTCCGCATCAGACCGTAAAGCACTCCAGCAGGTGGCGAAAACTGCCCAAAGCAACGCCAGCACCCTGCGCCACCCTGAGGCTGCAGACCCTGTTGAACTACACACCACCCCTCTCATAGCATCATTGCACTCACTACTGCAGTGTTTACAGTACTTTAATGACCATGTAATTTGCAGTATTTATCTTTGCAGTATGTTACTTTACATATAACCTACATGTTACTTAACTAACCTACTGTACATATTTATACTCATGTATATTTGGGTAAATATACAATGCTGTTTACACTGTACATACACCCTTACATTTGTACTCTCTATTCCTTGACTCTGTCCACATCCCCTCTGTATATATGCATTTAAACATTTACATATGTAATATTTGTATATTGTAACTCTCCACTGTTCATAACTGTACATATTGTAAGATATAGCTTCACTTGCTTTGCTACTACTTTCCTGCACTTATTTGTAAATAACACTGTATTTGCTATTCTGGACACTAACTGCATTTCATTACCATTGTACTTATACTCCGCCCAATGACAAAGCTGAATCTCATCTAATTTAATTTATTGCAACAGAGTATGTGAAACACTGAACTAAAACCAATCAAAAAGTAGTTTCTGATTTTCAGTGTGCCCACTTACTGTCCACTCTATTAGACACACCTACTGTGTCAGTCCACCCTGTAGATGTAAAGTCAGAGACGACAGTTCATCTTTTGCTGCACAGTTTGTGTTCATCATCCTCAAGTTCTTCATCAGTGGTCACAGAACACTGCCCACAGGATGTTGGCAGTCCAGCACACTGAGGCACTTAACAACTCCAGCAGCACTGCTGTGTCTGATCCACTCGTGCCAACGTAACACACACCACCACACAATTACCACATCAGTGTCACTGCAAATGTTCCACCAACCAAATAATACCTGCTCTGTGGTGGTCCTCTGGGGGTTCTGACCTCTGAAGCACAGGGTGAATGGGGGGCTGACAAACTATGCAGAGAAACAGATTATCTACACTCTGTAAATGTAGAACTACAAAGTTCACCTGTATGGTAAGTGGACCAGATCAAATGAACAATAAGTGTAGCTACAAGGAAGTGGCCAGTTACTGCAAGCCCACCTTTAGAATGGAGAACAAAATGAGGCAGTGTCCACAACAGCTAGGACACGAGTGAGATACAGAAAGAAAAAAGCAAAGACATAGATAGAGAAAGAAAGGGGTTTACAAAGGAAAATCAACAGGAGGAGTACAACAAGTGAGGCCCAAAAGCGAGACGAGGGAAATGAGGGAAATGGAAAAAAAAATCAAAAACAAAAAGACCCAGCACAATCCAGACTGCTCTTGACCTGTGCCTCAGTAAATGGAGCACGTTCCCATGTGTGCTCCTACAGCCTTTGCGTCATGCATGTCTATGCATGTGCTTACACACGCATGTGCAGCGCAGTGCGTCCTGATGTTTCCCAGCTGTGTTCCACCAATAAACAATCTCTCATTCAAAGCCACTGCCAGCCCTCCTCACTCACACACATACACACTCTCTCCTTCTCTTTCCCTCTACTTTCCACCCCCACCCATAGCTCCCCCATTGCCAGGCAACGAGCTGTAATCAAGACGTGTATACAGAGTTTCTTCTGTATGAACCAGAACAGGGAAAAGCAGAAATCTGAGCATGACCTCAAACCTCTTTGAGCAAAAAAGCCCAAAAAGGTTTCTCCTTTGTTAATAGATGAAAGTATTTCTGGATACAAATTTCCAAACATGCCTGCTGAAAATGGAAAATAGGCATTTCATGCTTATCGCCACCTTCCTGGCTCTCTCTCCTGCCTTCTGAGGCTGTGCTTTAAGTCAAATCCATGTTGAAAGCCAATGCTGACAGCCTAAGCACCCCCTCTATAATTCACCAACATGTCTTGCTCTTACTCAAAAAGGTGGACTGTCCAACCAAGCAGCATCTTTAAACCATGTTTGAATTTCTGAACCCACCATGTCATTTTACTCAACGGTCTGAGTGTCATGTCTGAATTTTCCTATGCAAGCTGCACACACTCATGGTTTTCAGCAGGAATGCTTTATATGCTGGAAAAGTAACAGACATACCAGGAGACGTGCATTGTCTGGTTCCCACTGCTAATGGTGCACATCTTCTCTTCAGGGTTGATCATGGTTGGATATACGCTTAGAGTAGCACTGGCATTCACAATGGGACGAGATCTGCGAAAGGCAAAAAAAGGATCTCAAAAGATCTACCAACCCTTTATCAGTCTGTAAATGTGCATTTGGGAATACACTCATTTAATTGACAGCACAGAGCATTACCTGTACAGAACTGCCTTGTCAACTCCAAATGCTCCCACAATAAGGTCTATATTGTGAAAACGAAAGAGGCACAGTGTGACTCCAGAATGCATCTGTTATTTGAACACAAGTAATACAAATGGCAAAAAGTGGCTGCCAAGCAGTTCTCACCTGGGTAGCCATTTTGATCCAGGTCTTTGCCTCCTCGCAGGGTGAAGCCAAAACTGGCAGGTGGGGCAGGATGGGCATTTGATGCCCACTGGCCAGCAAGCACCTGGGAGGGCTTTTCCCGGAGTCCTTTAGTATAGCCATTGTAGATGAAGACCAGGCCCTGTTGATCCTTTCCACCAAATGGACTGCCAATGGCCACGTCTGATACACGACAACAGATAACATTACTACCAAAATACTACTCATAACAACAGCAGACTGGATGAAGCAAAAAAACACAAAAAAAAAAAAAACACAAGAACAAGCACAACTATGTATTGAAAAACAGTATTTAAGTCCCAGTAATTGTCTCCTCACCATTGAAGCCATCCTGGTTAAGATCTCCAAGAGGAGCAATGGAGCTGCCAAACCGGCCAAATGTCTGTGTGCCAGTGAGGTGAGGTAGCTGTGGTACAAGCTCCAGAGGGCCAGTCTGTAGGTACACGTAGACCCGCCCCAGCTCCTCCAACCTCCCATCTGAATCTCGCACCATAAACATGGGAGCACCCACCAACAAGTCCATCAGGCTGCGAATAAGAGTACAAAACAAAGATGAGTTAGATTAAAGAGCACTACAGTACTCTACATGTACGTACGCATACATGTGTATTCTATGTATATAGTGTAGATTTAAATATTATAAATTAGATATCAGAAAGTATAATAAAGATTATAAGCAAGCAAATGACAAATAGTATACTGTAACTCTATTTTATAGCAATTTCTTGTATTTTTCTGCCTAGAGATTTGATCACTTACTTTTCAAATACGAGACATTCTCGATGTTTATTATTTTTTTAACATTTTTTACAGGTTTCTCAGTTTCTTTGAAAATCATCTACAACTTTTTTTTTTTTTAATCTTTCTTCAAATTATTTAAAACCTTTGAAGTTGGGATGCACTAGTGTCATACAGGAATAATTTCATACATATATCTGGAACAAATCTGTTGTTTTTATTATTAGAAACAAGGCCAAGCTCTGAACAATGGTAAATGTATAAAAGTTAAGTAAGGTCACTCACCCATCGTTGTTGATGTCTGTGGCAGCCACTGCATAGCCAAAGTAGGAGCCCATCTGAAAAATGTTTCAGTTACAATTACACACTCACATACTCAACTTGTTCTCCTTTTTCCAAAACGGTCGTTCAAGAACGAATGTTCCATGAAACTGTCTGGATTGTCTTTGTTGTGCATGACATCTTTACTCAAACAATGCAGAAAGTTTTAATTCAGCTAGAAAAAAAAAATATATATATACACATAATGGCTTAAAGGTCATGCTAGTTATGACATACATCATGAGCTTTTCAGAACATGATCCAGATAGCAACTGTTCATTCTTATGGGACACAATGTGTTTTGTTCCAAAATGTCACATAAGACTGTTTATTATAATACAGTTTATTTAACCAAACCATTATTGCTTCAATGTATGTTCAAATCCCTTTGAGCACATCAAAAGAGCACAATTTCCAAGCATATAGACATCAGCTAGTATTTACTCAGCTGAGGTAACTGGGGAAGTTAAAGGCTTCACACAAGTTCCATTTGCAAAACCAGGCTGCTCATTTGAGAAAACTGCCTTTAAGCTTTTGCCTCAATAATTGGGCTTTACTGCTCACCACAGGGCACTACAGCCCAGTTAGTGCAGACTTATAAAGGAAATGATTTTGCTTAAATCATCAGTGTGCTGCATTCTGAGGAACCAACTTGTGGGATGAAGCTGTGCAAAGCACAAAGTACTAGATTACACTACTAACACCCAGGGTGTGTATAAACTACTATGACAGAATGCAGCCTCTAATTTGATTCACATGTATTAGCAATTATGTATGATACATTAAGACATGGAGTTTAAGCCACTTCAACCATAAAATTTTCAGCATGAAGGAAAAAACACCCCCAAATCTTAGCAATTCGAGCTATTATTATCCACTGATTAACACTGCGACATCTGTGTGCATCAGAAGTTTTACTACAGCTTCACAAGGTACATTCATGAAAGCCAAGAAGTAACAACTTACCTGCTCACCAGTGAAGTTTTTCAAGGTCTCCAAGGAGCCATCAAGAATAGATACCTGTGGAGGAAAGGAAAACTTGAGTTAACTAAACAAAAGACAACTTAGCCCAGAAGCACCAATGAAGCCGTAAATGTTTGTCTTTTTGCAACAGTTAAGAATGACAGCATGCTGTTTATCATTTTTCTATAGGCAACTTAATCAAATAAATTCTTTACCTACATCAACAAAAATTCAGCTCTGCTCTACTTCATTCGAAATGATTCAGTGATTCTCGTTTACCTGGCCATGCAGACGCACTCCTCTGGGAACTCCTGTCACAAAGTCTGAGAGACAGAGAGCAGAGAGCAGAGAGGAGAAGAGGGGGAAAAAGAGAACCATATTTAAAAAAAATAAATAAATAAATTAAAAAAAAAGAGAGTGAGATTTAGTAGTGGAAACATGGAAACGTCTGCGATCCTCAGGAACTTAGAGAATCCTGGCAGGCAAAGCAAAGATGCTCCTCACGCTCTGTTTTCATATTTGTTTAAGCGAAATGGAATTGTGGAGTTTCTGTGATCATTACACTTCCTATAAGAGGTTGTCTAAACATTGCATTATTCAAAATATTATTTTAAATAAGAAATGCAAAATGATGCTTTTCATCACCATTAGTGGCATACAAATATAAACAAAACTGCATGACTGCACCCATTTCACGCAACACTTAACACCAGCATAATATACGCTATCATCACTCCTGCTGGCAAGTGGTCACATCATTTACCTTCTTCTTTATCTCCACTGAACTCTCCTACTGCCACAGAATAACCTAAAAGACACAATACAATCAAGCATTATTTTCAAGGGAAACAGAACAGTCCACTGCTCAACCACTTTTTAATACATGAGAAATGTATGGGTGAAAAAATCTTACCCATATAAGTGTCGTCAAACTTGATTTCTTTCTTCTGCTTGGTCTGAATCTGGCCCATCACTGATGTGAGGAAGAAGCCTGGGTAGTAGGCCTTGATGATTTCTTCCTTCACTGCAGAGATAACTTGTCCTGAGGAAGACAGAGATCTTTATACTAAACTTTCATAAACAGACAGTGCTAAAAGGGCTAAAAGAGCAAAACACACTGCCTATTGGATTCTATTACAAATGTGTTAGGAGCCTATAGGTCTGATTGTCTTTAATTGTCTATAATTTACAAAATTAACTGATGCTGTAGAGAATATAATCACTGATTCAAATGTTCTTTAGGAAACCAAATTAGTTCTTCAGTGGCATCACTCACAGACATCTTTATTTATTTATTTTTTTTACATCTTTACATGTGTCTATTAAGAACAGCAGCACTAGTTTAGTGACACTGTCACTGTATATCTGTTATTAAAGTCTCATACCTTGCCAAAAATAGCTGCCAGGTCCTCCAAGTACTACCTTCCCATCCTATATTACAAAATTGAATGAAAAAATTGAGTGGAACTGAAAATGTACTGAAAACCCAAATACACGTTACCAAGTAAAATGTACGCAATCAACTGACCTTAGTGAAATCAGCACTGAATCCACCTTGACAATAACCTTGGCCCTTTGCTCCATGGAATTCTGAAACGGACATACAGTACTATTACTGCTGTTTAAACGTTACATAAAGGTGCAAGATGCCAGAGTGAACCAGCTATAATAACATTACAACAACACAAAGAATCCCTAAATGTGATATAATAATAAAGACACTTTAACAAAAAAAAAAAAATCTACCTGTGCGGCAAGGGGCATACTCGACAAACTTGGTGAAGTTATTAACAGACAGATAGCAGGAGCCAGTGACGTCTGATTCAGGCGTGTCCTGCTTGGTTCTCCAGGAGTAGAGAGGTGCACAAGCCTGGGGAATGGTTTCAAAAACAGAGGTGAGAGTTTAGCTCCATGGCAACATGCACAGACAGCTGAACCTAGGGAGGATCCTGAGAAAGGTCAGTGCTACATCTGGAGTAAAGTAACCATGATGATTGTAGGATTGAGGTCATGCCTCTCGTAAGCCTGATTAAATACAACACCTGTGTTTTTGAGGTCACACACACAGTCCTTACCCACAAGCCAAACAGTCACAAGGTTCAGATCAAAACAAAAATTTCTAAAATTTTTCAGACAGGATTTCTAAAGAACATAGATGCAGGCATAGGCTGCGTACACCATGTTACAGTAGGTATGTCATATTCAAAACATTACAAATATATTAGTGCATCATACTGAGCAATGTCTATAAACAGAGTGAGACATGCATATAAACATATGAGAACTTTGGCAAAAGGCAGAAGAACTGTTCATAGTAACTAATATGCAAGTGTTATACTTGAGCACTCGCTGAAGTATTGACCCAAAGGCCCAAAACCCTAACATGATCTCTTACCAAAACAGAGTCATTATGGGCACGCACAGTCGCTCCAAACCACTGGTGGGACTTGAATTCAGCTTGGGTTTCAGTGTCATTGAGAGTCACATTAAGATCTCCTAGAAAACGAGTGAGAAAAAAAAAGAATTTAAGCAAAGATTCCATTTAAAAAGCTTAATTTATAGTGTATTGTGGACAAAACGTTTTCCTTGCACTTTGATAGCTGATAAATAGATGAATGCTTCTCCTGAAAACAAAAGGATAAAGCATTCAAGTGGAAAGTATAAAATGTTCTTGGTTGCAATGTGAGATGACCACAATTTGAACACAGTGAGAGAATTTGAGATGACAAGACCAGTGGACAAAGCCTGTCCAGGTGGGACCACCAGCTTCTAAAGGCAATAGTTGAAAGGGGCAACCCTTCCATGTCCTTGCTGGGTTCTACAGCCCAACTGATATGAAAATTTTGTGACCGCTCCTGATACTGTTTTTAAGTAGGAAAACAATTCCAATATTTAATGACATTTTAAACTGATCATTATACATATTTTAATACTTTTACCCAAAACTGCAAATGGTCGAGCACAATTGTAAGTTCTCAGTTGTCACATTTATCAATTTTAAACATCAGAAACATCAGAAGTCTTAAACAATATAAATACTGTAGGGCTGGGGTTGGAGATTCACTGTATTCTTTCTGGTTTAGTTAGTTCCAGTTAATTAGGTTTTTTCCTCAGTTGTCTTTATAAAAAGATTTGTAGTGACATTTTATTCCCAAGCAAAAGGCTAGATTTAGAGGCATTTAAAGCATATTTTACTTTTTTTTTTTTTAACCAATGTTATATTTTTCGTAGACAGACAGACAGACAGACAGACAGTGTTTAAATTTACTAGTTCAGTCTGTATAGAAATAAGCAAGCAGTGACTGCTGGCTTTGCACACTCAGAATTACAGCGTGTCAGCCGCACACACTGTAATCCTCAGAAGTAAATGACTTCCTTCACATCAAATCTGGATGCCACTATTTATTTATTCTTCATCAGTGAGATGTTTACAGACGTCAATAAACTTGTAGAATGTCAATATTGACCGATAACACAGGAAAACTAAAATATCGGTCAGGCCCTACAGCATTCCAATGATAATTAACCAGCTGAAACAGCCAATGCCCCTCTTAAGTCTTTCATAATGCCCTTTGCCACATAAATTTCTCCAGTTGCACCATAATTACAAGCATGATGCAACAGTGCCCTGTGCTGTGGTGGAGAGGCTGTGGAGGAGACTGGGGGAAAGAGTGAGGGAGAGAGTAGGATAAGGGAAAGGATGGCTGGCTGTAACATCATCCTTTACCGTCTCTCCTTAGCTGTAGTGATTTGGGTGAAGGGGGCCCGGACTCAGCCGAACTGGAGCGAGGATGGGGGAGGGAAAAAAAAAAGCTCTGTGCCAAGCAAAACAGGAGCTTTGGAGCTGCAAGGCAGGCGTTTCGTCAGATACGCTTCTGCTCTCTTGAACTCGTGTGCTCCCTCACTCGCTCGCTCTCATTTCTCTTTGCTACTTCTCTTCTTTCCTTTTTCACCATCCATGGCACCATTCAACTCCTCTTCCCTTTCTTGTCCACCTTATCCTTCTCTAATATTATTTTATCATCTTTTCCTACTCTATCCAACCACCACTCTCCCACTCATTCTTCCACCATCTTGTTTTCCTTCTTTCTCTTCTCTCCATTTGTCACCTCCCAGATTGAGGCTTTCCCCCTTTTTCTCTTGCATCTTTGCTCTTCATCCCTCTGAGAGAGGGGATTCCCCAGTAGAAAAGCAATAGGTATTAAGACTCTCTAATAACATTACAGGATATCTTGGCCTTATGGTCCCCACCAAGTCTCTCCTTCTGCCCTTCATGCTCCCTCTTTACTTCTCTTCTCAGGCCCTCTGCCAAAGTAAAGAGGCCTACCGATTTGGACAAGGAAACAGAAGACTTGCCCCTGTTAAATACTCTAAGCCTGAAAAGTAAGGAAATGTATATCATGCCATCTAATGCAGTACATTTGGAACTCTGTACCGACTAATAAGTGACATGCAGAGTCTGAGAGGTTGGCTTGTCTAAATGTGGGACAGAGCCAACAAAGTTCTCCAAAATCAACAGAAATGGACCATAAAAACTAACAATTATCTCGTCTTCCATGTAATAATACTATTTGCTAGAAAAAACTGGATGAAAGAATGAATATATTATTCAAGAGGCAACAGATATCAAATGTTAGAATTTACACAAAAGCTGTCTGTATGTGTAGTGTAAGACTGGATAAAACGGCAAAAATGTAACACTGCCATTTTTTAAATTTTCCCGCTACACAATATGGCTCACAATATTTTGTTTTTCTGAAGGTGGAACAGACACAAAAGTCTCAACAACTAAACATATGAAAAAATATAAATGTCACTATAAAAAGTGATATTATGTGCCCAATAAAGTAGAGTATGTTTCTTGCCCATTCAAAGCCAAAAACTAATTTTAATCATGCTATTGTCCTGAGTGGTCTGAGAAGTTGGTACCTAACTTGAGGTCTGAGCTCTAGGGTCACCAGACCATTGTTCTGAAAACACTAGTCACTTCTTTCTTTGATTTTGTTTTTTAATAACTATTTCCTCTAATCAGTAACAGGTTCTTGACAGCTACACATCAATGTATACTTGGCTATACATCCGTTTAGATTCTTGCCGTTGCATTGTCTTCTCGCGGTAGAAGGACGGCCAGAAACATCAGTGGTCTTTGTTTCTGATCTGAAGTGAGAGTGCAGCTTGATTTTCCCAAAGATGAAAACTTTAAGTACTGTTTATCTGATTGCAACTGTTTTGGTGGTCCTGCACAGTTGTTAGGAGTCCCATTTTCTCTAGATAATTCAAACTCCTGTTTACTTTCATTCGACCCTGCCCTTCATTAGGCATGCTGAACACATATCTAATCTCCTCTGATATATCTCCTGAAAAATAGCTTGTTATTAATGGCCATTCTGGCTATGAATTAAATAGTCCACATAAAGAGTGGTCTCTGACTTTTGCACTGTACGGTATACAATGATTTTTAACAAAAGGTAATGATAACAAAAGGTAAAAAAAAAAACAATTGTTTAATGATCTAACATTCAGTCTATTTTGATCTGATCTAAAACCACTGGTTGTTGCTCTATAAATATTTCTTTATTAAAAAAAAAAAAAGCATGCAATTGACCAGTGTTCAAGTAGAACATGATAATGGCAACACTCTTACTGATGGGGCTGAAAGGTAAAAGCTAGAACATGTGACAGACTGGCATGAGACAGTATCATACACTTCAGTGTCACTCATTGTTAGAGCAAGGCATTGCTTTAATTCAGAATGATGCACACAGAAAAGCCTCTTTTTGATCTGAATCACAGACAAAAAAATAAATAAATAAATCAAGAATTCAGGCTGGAGCTGGGTATCAAAAACACCCCCAGCTACATATACACAGGGAAAACAAATAGGTCTCTTGTATTACCATGCAAGACAATGACAGATTTAAGAATTTGTCTCAAGCATTTGGCTTTGATGTGATAGCCTGGTGTGCACAAAGTGATATACAGTAGCTCAGAATATGTATACAGATACAAGGCATCAACAGCAACGAAAGTTTTCAGCCATGATTTAGAACTGTTTTGACTAGACATAGCACTCTAACCAATCTTAGAGGGCTTCTTTCTCTTAAGTGCAGCCTGATTCCTGCCTTGAGCCTTACTCCTGCGGGACAGTGAAAGGGTGGGGGGTCAGGAGTGTGTATACAGCCAACTGCCTTTGAACTGTGTGACACAAGACCCATTAGAGGATACAGATCTCTGTGTGTGTGTGTGTGTGTGTGTGTGTGTGTGTGTGTGTGTGTGTGTGTGTGTGTGTGTGTGTGTGTGTGTGTTGAAGGAAAGCACAAGACAAATGGACAAATTCAGACATCACATCAGCTATCCCTTGGGGAACTTCGAAAGAGGGGAAGGAGAAGAGGGTCAGATTATACAGAGGAGTCTGGAGGTCAACTACTCTCTCACTCCCGCTCTGTTATTTCTTTATCAGAGAGGAAGAGGAAAGCGTTAAAAGGTCATCTCCTTTAATTTCAGTCTTCTCTCTCTTTCATGCTCTCTCTATCTCTGACAGTAAAGAAGGATGTGGTTGAGGGTTTTTGGGCAGGGGGTAAGGCCATAATCCTCCAACCAGCGCAGCATAATCATGGCAACCAGTGAGGTGAGTCAATGACCACTAGGTCCCCACAACAGCTGAGTGCAAAAGTGAATGCACAGATAATCTCTCCATACTTTATCTTATCTAAGCCTGCTCTCCTGCTCATACGACAGAAGAGGCAGAAATGACAAAACAAATAAAATCAATATGTTAAAACATATAATTCTGCCTGCTACTAATGCTTTAAATCTTTCATGTGACTTCAAGCTAAGGATGAGCGATATAACATATAACACATACACTGGGCTGAGCTTGACGGTTAAATAAAAATAAACTATTGACCAGGAGCAAAAAAAAGCAAAAAAGACAAACTGTGTCTTTTTAATAATTCCTACAGTTTTTTTAATAATTCCAGTATAGTGATACCTATGATACTCAAAAATTTTTTTAGAAATGTGCAAATCACAACAACGATAAAGCTAACACATATCACATATAGCTTACCCCTACCTGGCCCTGCTAATTCTTATTGACATGTAATTGAATGACTACTCGATACAACTTGACCTCTGCAACGGGAACACAATGCTGCAATATATCTTACGTCACTGACAAACAATGTAATAATACCAGACTCTCCTTTTAGAGTATGAAGCTAAACCAAAAGACAATTACTAATGTCGATTATAATTGAAAGGGTCGCCTAATATATAGGTAAAGTATTCTCAGACAGTTCTAATTTTCTGTTTTCTATATTTTCAATATATTTTATATTTATAATTTTCTATATTTTCAAATCACAATGCAGAAAAAAAAAATGCACCATGATGCCTTGTCTTACTCTCAGTGAAAGCTGGCTTTTGTATCATAAAAGGTCTTTCAGTAGTTGCACATTCTTATGCAAAAATCAGAAACAGAGGGGCAACAAAACGTGAAAGGTCTGCACAAAGCCATGAGAGGTAGCTTTAAAAATTTGCTGGAATACTACTCCCTGTGTCTGAGCTACAGGGCTATAGGCAGTAAATCTGTGCTGGCGTTTCAGCATCGTCTTTGATTCCCTAGGAAACAAGCCAGAAGGCCTTGCTTGACACGGTACACATTTCATTGTCCCTTTACATGTGTTGGACAAACTCAACAGCTTGGCTTGGTCCACAGCCCTCCAGCTGCCTACACTGATGCAAGCCTTTCAGCGAATGTGAAGTGAGAGGAATCTCCATCGTTCTATTGTCTTCAATCTTACTAAGAAACATGCAAACAATTAAACTCAATTTACAGCCCCTCGTTGCCACAACAGAACTCTTAGGCATTTTAACAACAGATCAGCTTTCTCAATTTCACAGAATCCATCATCAGCATTCAGCAATGCTGAAACTTTCCTGGAGAAAATATCTACTGATATAGTGTAATGCCTGACTGATATATCAATTGACTGAAAAATAATTAGTAGATATTAAGATTCTAAATATTTATTGGTGAAAATCCTGCCAATAAAGCTCTAATATTAATTGTTTTAGGTAGTAAAAGACACCTCTACTATAAGAGACATTTAATTTTGAGGATTTTCATGGTTTCAAGGTTTCATTCTGCAAATCTAGTCATCACCATTTAATCACTTTTACTGCAATAACACAGGCTGAAGTGAAATAATAAAAATGTAAAAATAACAAACTGCAACCAAACTTAACTTTTAGCATGACAATAACAGGCTGTAACACAAAAACCTTTATGTGTAGAGAACTGCTGAAAAAAAGCCCTAATTAATAGAAAAAAACACTTGCTGAGAGGTTCTGCCTCCAGCACTACAATATGTATATTATTTAAGACTAAAAAAATTAATTTGTAACTGAGAATATTTGACAATATTTATATCATAATCATTAATACTGATAATCATATTTGATAATTCACAGTTTACTACTGACAATGTACTGACAGTCAGTAAAACACTTGTCTAGCAAAAACTACTGGAGTACTTCCAAAGTGAATCTGACTGAATATTGCTCAGAATATATGTTACCTAGTAACTTAGGACTCAGGATTTCAATTTACATGCTGTATTTAAAAGCTTCAAATCTGTGAAGAGTGCCTCTCATCATCTCTAGCCCTGTAAATGCGACCCACCATGCCCTTTAGTATGTAGTAGAGAAGAGAGATGGGCCACAAGCTACCCAAGATGTTAGTTAGGTTACAAACAGCCCAAAGCTCACCATCTTTGGGTGCACTTCCTCCACCTCTCCTCCTTCAAACTCTTAAACTGACTGCCTCAAACAATAAGATGCAAAGGGAGGTGAGAATGACTGGCACTAGCTTTAAAGGAAGCACATGGCTAAACCACTTAAGGCAAGGAGAAGTTATCTGTCAGCACAAGAATTGTTTAGCAGAGGAAGCGGAAACTGAATCCTGAATAGTAAATCCACTTGAAGTGAAGTCCTGGTAAACAATTAGTAATTAGGGCACATTCTTTTCCTGAGGACTGAATGTCTGGGATGGCATTTGTGATCAAGATCTGTAGCTACAAGCTATAAGATGCTATAGTTATCACTATGCTATAGTTGATATAGTAAATCAACACTGTTATAAGTCCAACGGAATGTACCAATCCATGTTCCATTCATAAAACCGTTCTTTCATAGCAACTGTTGGGCAGCTTTACAGAACATTAGCAAAAAAAATCCCATTTAACCTAATGAGAAACAGCAGCAGTATTTGTTTAGCAGTGCTACATAACATTTTAGTTTGCAGTTTATAACGCTATGCTACTGAGCTGGACTTGGTTGTTCCACCTAATCCAAACTAAACAGGTTTAAACTAGACAAAAATGCTGGCTAGGTCCCTGGCTACTCAAAAAAATAAATAAATAAAAAATAGCACACACTGATCTATCCTAAAAGTGTCACATTTTATACTCATGCAAAATAAATATAATCTGAAATAACACCAATTTTTTTTTTTCTTTAAAGAAAACAGCACTACAATTTTTTATTAGATTGCTACAAAAGAACGCTTTTGTGCATGGATAGACAGATCAGTTCCCTAAAGGTCTACTGACCAGAGAAGTATGTGTGAACAATGGGAATTTTTACAATACATGGGTTTATCATGGGTCAATGTGACTTACCTTGTCTGTCAAACTCCACATTGTTGCACTGTGCCTGACCATGGCTCCATGGGCAATAGAAGACAGAGCCTCCCTCTCTGATGTAGGGCTGGCTGGTGTTAGCCTTGGGTGCTCCAACAATGATACTTTCACTGCTGAAAAAGGACAGAAGCAACATTTCAAAAGATGTGCTAAATGAATATGACTACATTTGAAACACTATTCAGAACACCACAAGAAAACATTTACAAATGCACATTTTAAGCAAAATCAGAATGACTAAAGTGTAAATGTATGATGTGGCTGATTTTAAAGAAAACACTCATGTTGTTATTGTTATATGGGATTGTTTCAGCTTTTTCATAATTTCAAATTCTCAAGCATAAAAAGGAAACGATTAACAAACTAAAGCAATGATTATGGCCTTTTGGAAAATGGATTTGGTACTAATGTACAGCACAGCACTGTGTTACATAATAGTGTGGCCATGTGCAATTGTTGGTAAGATTTTTGGCAATGCAGCTTTGTGCTCAAACACACATACACTCACTAGCCTCATTGGGTAACAAATGGGAAAACAAGAGCTGAGACTGGCTAAGTGGAGTCATACCGGTGTTTCAACAGCTGTGTTTCTCCCTTAGGGATATCACACACAGGCACAGGCGTGCACACACACACGCACACGTTTGTTCCTGAGAATTGTGGGGACATTTCACAGACTTCCATTCATTTCCTGGAGACATAGCCAAACCTAACATAACTACTACCCTAACTCTCACTTTAAAATATATCTTTACCTTAAAATTTAATGATTTACATCCACATTTAAAAGGGGGAAAAGGCCCCCAAAACATGAGTGTTGGTCTCCACAGTGTGGCCTAAACATTGTTTTACACACACACACACACACACACACACACACACACACAGCTGCATGACAGCCATGTATGCCATACACATACACTCAAACCCTCTTTTGCTTTAAGCCATGTCTCCACCACAAATAGTGGGAATGTTACCCTTATATTACCATTCCCATGATTTCATAGACCAAAAACAACTGTTGCTAAATCGGACTTCTAAAAGAGTTTCAGAAAGATGTGAAGAGGTACAAACCAACAGGACAGGTTAATTATATCCAGATGGCCTTAAAACAGATGGTTTCTGACAAAATAAATAGAAATGGTTTCCACTCTTATTTAAAAAAGAAAACTGCACTGCAACCAAACCAATTTACAATTTGTGTATTTACCAAGAAAAATATTTGTTTGCATTAAATATGCTTTCTGCAATCTGTCAACTGGACAAGCAAAATGAATATCTGTAATATTTGTGTACTGTTACACTCCTACTGTGGACAGTAACTTCCATGAACCCTGCACTTCTAATCTGTGTCTTATTTTCCGCAAGACAGCCTATACGAGTGTGGTACAGACATGTCCTCACTGTCTGAGAGGTTACTATCGTCTTTCCTCTCATTAAGGCCAGTCCGTTTAGGCATGGTGAGGGGGCACTGAGGGTTTCTGGGAGGGGGGGTATGGCTACAGGAAGAGAACGCCCTTTCCTGCCCCCTGGGCTTGTCTCCATGATGCATGACGGAGGGTTACCTCACAAAGCCTATATTCAGCAAGGCCTTCAGCCAACTGGCCTCAAGGGAAGGCTCTTATCCACTTTAGATCCACTGAAGAGATAGTGTCCACTGACCAGGGCAGGGGTTTGACCACTTGTATAAAAGAAACGGAGGGTAAGCTGATTTGTGAGATGTTGGAGAAAGTAAAAAAACAGTCTGTCCAAGTTTGCTAAAGATCAGCATTACCACTATGTACTTTAGCTTCTAACCTCTGAATCAAGTTTAGGTTGATTTATATATATTAGCCATATAGTCTGCAGGGCTGCACAACATTGTTATCGCAATACTGGCCTTTATAATACTGATATCAAAGAAGGATGTAATATGCAAATAAGCTCTCTTTACTTTGTGCTTTGAGCTTCTTGACGAATCACAGTTCTATAGTGGAATTTCTGTGGGTGTTTTGATGATGCATGGTATTTAAAAAATGAATAAAATGAATAAAAGACAGTGATTTTGTTCAGAATAATGCAGGCCAATTTTGGACAAGGTCACATGATTCATAATGAAGTGGTACAAAAAAGACACAATCACAAGCACAATATTTACCAACGATAGTATTTTGCTCAAAGCATACAGTCCTAGTGGACAGGTATAAATAAAAAAATATATATTTAAAAAATATAACTGGGGTTTTATAATGAAACACCAGAGAATGATTATGCTCTTCAAAAAGACTGTCATCAAAGGCAAACCAAATAATAAAAGGAAAAAACGATGAACAAAGGATAAAAGGAAAGGACATCCCAGGAGTTAGTAGGTTTCAAGGCCACTGCAGTGGACAGAGTCCCAGGACAGATACAAAGCTATAACCAGGGATGGGTGGGGGATTGGAGGGGAGACCTGAGCAGGCGCTTCATTCGTTATCATAAATGGGGAAACCAAAATGCTGCGCTCTTCCGGCTTGGAGAGTGGATCCCAATTTCCCGCCATGTGCTTAGACATGGGGAACATCAAGAGGTACCGCAGTGCTTGGCCTGAGGAATGTCATTTACAGAACAAAAAAAAAAAAAACCTTGTCATAGAGTCCCACCATAAACCTACCTTCTTGCCTGCGGCTGAAAATTACTCTTCAGCAAGTTTCCGGCTCCCTAAAACAGTTTATATTAAACTAAACTATGCATGAACACACCCACATCCAGCAGCACACATCAAAACCAGGATCTGTTGTTAGTCAAGCACAAGACACATTTCTCCTGGTGCAGATGTCAACATACATCTCAATGAAAAAAAAATGTATAAAAATGGCAAATAACAAAAAAAACCTACAAATAACATAGGTTACACTTGAACGATGTCATTATATGCCTGAATACGTTAAGCAGCTACACCATTTTCTTCAGAGACGCATTTTGTATCTGAAGGGTGTCATGCAGCTGCAGAGTCAGCGCACACAACTGAGCACTCTCAGGTCTCCTTAACTTCTCATGTTCCTGGAGAGCTGAGCACAAACACTACTGCTTTGGCTGACTGCATGAAGAATCTACAGTTACTTACAAGGACTGCATTTTCCATGTTGTAAAATGCACTCACTCACTCTCACAGCATATGAGCTTGTGTCCTAAAAGCCTAAGGTACGTGGTCCAAACTTCAGCTGCTTGCATCAATTCTTTTTTAAGCAGAGCATCAATATGGAATATAAAATTTATATATTAGTAAAATCTAAATCAAAAACGGATTTGTTGCACAGACAAAAAAAATCAGTGGCACCCCCCAGCGGCAATAATCTAGCCATTTGCTGTGATCAGGAATGGAAAAAATCCTTCTTAGAGTACTACTATGGAGGTGACACTTCAATTGATTAGTTAAGTGTTAATATAGGAAATCACTCAAATAAGACTAAATACTACTTGAGCAGCTGTTCAAATAACTGCTATTCATCTTACAGAAAAAGGATCAACACTCATGTTTCCACAAGGTTTTTGGCTACCTAACCTAAACTACTATCTTACCTCAAACATTTCCTTAAATTAGGCAAATCAGCTAGCCAACAGGCACTTGAGCTTTTACGCTTAACAATAAGAAGCTAAAAGGAAAATAGCAAGAAACTAGTTAAGAACTAAGCTAAGATTAGTTTGCCAGCCAGTTAATTGCTGTGAAGAGTTTTGTTTTTCTTCATAATAGTTTTTACAGATTATTGCCAAGTATATTACTTCATTAAGAATAAATTCCCATGATCATACACAAAAAAGTACCATTACAAAGGAAAAATAAATAAATAAATCACACAAGACGAGTAGCTGTAATTCGTTACATTACACCTTTGTTTCAGACTGGGCATTTAAGACATGTTAATGTAGGCCTAACACCTGTTGCAGTAGGCCTAACACTGTCCATGGACCTCTAGTAAACAGGAGCTCTCTCTCACCGCTGATACTACCATCAAGAAACAAAACAGGAAACACAACAATGGAAAAATGCTTTCATCAGCTCAGGGGAAATTGTTGTGTCTTCCACGCCACACAAACAGTTTGGAAACACACAAACACAGACACAGACACAGACACACACACACAGACACAGACACACACACACACACACAGACACACACAGACACAGACACACACACACACACAGACACACACACACACAGACACACAGACACACAGCGCCTCGATAATGATCTGAAACAATTGTAAATGAGCAACAATTAGCGTGTAATGGGTCCTTATCAGACTGAGGATCTGTCTCGTCTAAACTGCCTTCTCTCCCAGCTAAAACTCTAAATGTTGGGCTAACATTAGTATAGTGATAAGAGCTTTGATTGTTCTTAGCCAAAATGGTAGCTAAGGAGGTTCAGGCTTACTGTTTACCTCTGAATCGTATGTACTGCCATCGTGCTGCCAAAAAGATTATATTAATTAGTCGTTTCAGAGGCAAAACCTTTCATGTGTCAATAACCTTTCATGTTTGCAAAACCAAATGATTAAGTACACAGGAATAAGTTTGGATAGGTGTGGCATTGACCATGGTCACTTCATATTCAGAATAATGCCATAACTGCTTGTGTTTTTGAGTGCTTTCAAGCCACCACAAGCATATTATATCTAACCCTCAAAATACACCACCCTATTCATAATGGAAAAGTTTTTATTTATTTTGCAATAAGTGTGGAGCTTACTGTAATTGTAAATTTAATTCATTTCAAAAACAGTGATATTTTGCAAGAAGATCCTGTCATAACATCTGTGAGATGGTTAGGGGCTTGAGCAAACCCCCAATGAGCTAACTGAGGAAAACAACATTAGCGTTTTTGCGGCATCCCTCAGAGCACAGACCAACGCCTCTCCGTGAAAACGCCAGTCACAAGAGCACTAATAGTTTCCACAGTACTGGGTGTTAATTAAGCTAACTCACTCAGCAAAGAGTCCAGGCTGAAAAGTGTTTACCACTGAAATGCTAAATGCTAAACATTATTTATGGTTTTGGTAATCTAACCAAAACTAAAATGATAAAAATGTGTGAGCATGCCTCAAATCTCCTCAGACAGCGATAAAGAAGGTTGGTTAAAAAGTTGCTGATGTG